ACGTTTTGTGGAACAGATAACGATATTTTACCTCTAGTGCGGACGAAAAAGCACATTCAGTGCTCTCCACAAGCTCGTAAGAAATAATCCGTTAATCTGCGTTGGTGTAAATATTGCATGATTATTATTGGGGTTGAACAAACAAATTGTAGTAATACTACTGCGAAGAGTCCTTGTGAAAAGAAGTGTGTTTGGATTCGAGTTACATATGGTGTACAGAAATTATATTTGCATGTCCTCTTTACTTACGGAATTCTATGTAACTGCGCGCACTATGTATTTGCTAAGGCAGAACATATCAATGAGCGTTTGTGATTTTAAAGGCGAGATAGTGTTTCGAAACAAATTTGAGTTCAAAGTTTACATTCTTGCTAATTTTGCCCAATGCGTTGGTGTCCCCGCGGACACTCTTAAAAAAATGAACGATTCGTTTTTCGTGCACGAAAATTGCTTTCAAGGGAAAGCTAAGTTTTCCGTACCCCTGGTGGGAGCCACAGGATTCAGGTAAATATTCTTACTTTTGGATAAATAAATATAAAACACAACAGAAACTGGAGATTTGACTGACGGATCAGAACACAGGGGTGAATTACTCAAGTGCTTTGCGATTGTGTCTGTACACAGCCTCACTGCAGGCCTCGGGCTTATAACACGAGATAAAAATTTAAAAGTTTCCACAATCCTGCCTTCAATCAAACTGACTCGGTTTAAAAATGTAACGAACCAATTTTGAGTCAGTTAGCTTTTGATTCACTCTACAGGAGAGAAGTATCCAAAAGTACTGTGCTTCGGGCTTAATCCGCTTAATCATCATAAATTTTTCACTGACTTATCTTCGTCGTCGGCCGGGAGTCAAATTCAGTTTCTTTGGCCCTCTTCTCTGAACGAGATCCTTGTATCAGCAGCGTTGCGGTATTTCGTGTAAGGTTCTGTCCCGTACTAAATTACCTTAAACTTGTATGAGATTTGAAAAAATTGCAGTAGTGGAATTTCAAGCTAGGAACAAGAGTTAGGGACAAAGGAAGAGAGAATAAGACAAACAACACGATGGAATAACTCAGGATAAAGGAGATTAATTTAAACCGGATTTCAAATTACGAACATTTTAGGCTAAATTTTTAAAGAATCGCCAGTTGTCTCGTAACATGCATTTCAGGCATTTTTCTCTTTTCTTTGAATCACTGATAAGATTTTTTTTCAAGTAGTTTTGATTATCAAATGCAGCTAAAACGTAATCCTTTTATGAACAAATCAGTGGAATTTTGTCCGATTTTCGTGTTAGTTATGAGACATATTCTGGTGTCAATTTAATAAATAACATAACACTTGAGAGCTGACTATATTTCTATTTTGCAGTTTTGTCGTCTAACGAGCCCCATATCTGTCATAATGATTTCTCTGAGGGACCTGTTTTGTTTTCAACTTATAAAGAAAACCACAAAGACTGTGCCAAAGTTGATCTTGTGATCGCTCCAACAGCCTGTAAAATTGGCCGCAGGAAACAATACAGATACAAAAGCTTATTAGAGATCATTTGTACATCGCATTATTCCGTTTTCAATGCCCTGTTTATCATATGAAGAACGTATTTCCTGCTCTAAGAGGATTGAGCCGTAATAACTTAGTTTTGATGGTTTTGGTATGTTAAAATGATAATGAAATCCCGTTTGATATGACAGTGATTCATTTCAATGCGTTACTGTTTTTCAGCTGTAGAGGTGGAGTAGCAAGGCTTTCTCACTGGCGTAGCATCTTTGCGGTGGCATAAAACGGCGGTGTTACTGCGATCTTTCATTATGACGGCGGTGAAAACCTTGATAGCTTTTTGCCTGCTGACCGAAATTGTTCAGGGGAACACACTGTGGTACAATGGCAAAGAATCACTTGCAAAAAACTTGGCCAACTCGCCACGCGTCTACGGATTATCATCACCTAGAAAGGTGTTTATTACAAACACCAGGGGGAAACTAGAGGTTAATGCAGTGCTCGAGAATCTTGAATCGACGATCTCAAAGACGCACAGAACTTCGCGATCAACAACTGCAAAACATAGGTCGAAACGAGTGATATTTTCAGGGGACGACCGCGTGGAGATACCTCAAAAATTATTGGAAAAATGCCCCTTTAGCGCAGCCGTGAGAATCTCAACGGGTTGCTCCGGAATCCTGGTGTCACCCAAGCACGTTTTGACTTCGGCTCATTGTCTACACAACGGAAGCCATTACGTGGAAGGATACAAAAGCCTAAAGGTTGGTTTCCTGTTAAGAAATGGTACCACAGAATGGCGAGCGGTCAGCTCCACTAAGATGTCCAAAATGTGGAAGAATGGAAGTGATCCAAGTGCTACGAAATATGATTACGCCCTTATAAAGCTCCAAAGAAATCATAGTCGATGCTTTCTGCCCATTTCTCCGAGCAGGACTTTCTTCTACGGATCGTACTGCGCACACGAGGCAATTAATTTCTCTGGTTTTGATGAGGACAGGAAAGATGGGACTTTACTATACAGGTTTGTTAATTTTCACCCCTACTCGACTAGTCAAATATTAAACGTCGAGGCTTTAACTGTTTAACCTCCCTTATTAAATTATAATTAATTATAAACCGTAAACCATAAACACTTATCCTTATAATAGTGTAAATGTTTATGGTTTATTTTATCGTGATGAAAAAGACAAAAAAATGAAAGTATTATCATTTTTCTAGCGAAGTAGTCATGCCGTCACTTCCGATGTAGACCGCGCCGTTTCAACTTCGCACCATAAAGTCGATTGTTAGGTCGATTACTTACGCGTAAACCTCTGCAGACTTAAGCTTCGTTTCAACAGCTGTGATTGGTGCATTTCCACTTTGTCTTCCCTTAGTAGCCATTAGTGTATGTTCTCCTGCTTTACTTGTTTGTGGACATCCATCCTACTGGAATGCCTTCAGTTCCACTGTCTTTCTTGATATCAAGTGCCAGGGAGAAAACTTTCGTGAATTGCCTCTTTCACCTTGCATATGTATTAGAGAGCGCTTTAACCTCCCGCCCACGGAGCACTTCAAGTGACAGATTTATCTTTACGATGAATTGAATCACGGGTTCACTTTTTAAACTTCTGAGCCTGATTTTCTCCAGACATTTTTTTGTCTTACCCTCAGGTCAACATGTGATGTGTGATCTTTCGTGGTCACATACTTGAGGCAGGAACAAGAATAAGACAGAATTTTTCTTCTTCACAGCAGGTGGCTCCGTGCCTCACGGAATCAGGGAGTCACCGTTTCGAACTTTGTCTAAAATACCTAATTAAAACTCCTTTATCCACTAAGACTCCAATTTTTCATTTCTCGGCTTTTACATTTCATTTTTTTTCTCCTTTATATATATAGAAGTTGCCGAGTTCTGACTTATTCCGCTAACCTGCTCTATCACTGCTGTGATGCCCAGAGAGGCTCGTCGGGCGCAGGCGTCTACGAAATTCACAGGCCTAAAAAAGGGAAATATCTACGCTACGTCGTTGGCGTATTTTCAGGGAACCGCGACAAAATTACCAGGAGACCCCCACAGTTTACTTGTAGCGGTCACTCCAGGAGGATCTGGTTCACGCGGTTTTACAGCACGAATTATAACGCCGCCCTGCGTTTCAAGGAGCAAGACGTGTATCACATCTGTACATGGATGCGCAGACTTGGAGGAGAAAACTGCAAAAAGTTCCTCAAGGAAAGAAGGCGAAAAAGGCGTCAGTCGGCTAGGAAGCGCCGAGAAAGAAGTAAGGAGGCATATGCCCGTTGTCAAAACATGCTTTAGACGTTGTCATAGCAACTGAGAGGCCGTCCGTGACGGCATATAAAACTATAATAGGAATTTATAAAAATCACATCGACCTCTTCTAACCATCAAGGAGTAATTTTGTTCGCTTATAGCATAGCAGGTTCTTTAAATTTGTTTCCCGAGATTGATCGTAAACGTTACTTGCTGCAGGCCATAGCATACATATTTTGACGAATACGATTGTTCTCACGCAGAAAAAGGAAAGTGTCCACTTTTATTTGCAACTTCATTTTTATCAACTAATTCGAAAAAAATGTAATCCCCTCCCCTCCCCCATTTAAAAGCTCTATGTCCAGAGCGAAACTCCTGCCCTGTAGTAAAAGCCCTGGGAACGAAACGAATTTTTTGAGTAATTTGATTTTTGATTGAACGACGTCTCAGCAATGCTAAGAAGGAAAAAAATGTTTTAAAGCACAATGAAATCGCATGATAACCTTGAATTTAATAGCATCAGTGACATGTAAGGTAGCTTTCAACACATCGCGTAGAGTACATCATAATCTAGATATCTTCGTGAACATTTTAATACAAAATAAATGTTGTCAAGTTGTAGAATTGAATGGTTGTTTCTTTAATGGTAACGGAGTGATCCAATTTTCTGCGTTGGAAATAGGAAGGCAGATCCATGACTCCACAGTGAATTTTTCATATGGCCAATTATTATTGAACAGTCGATGTATTGCTAGGTAATACACAACGGATACAACTTTCCTTGCTTTGTAAAGAAACTGACAAGCCCACCCTGCAAACAAATATGCCGCTTATTTTTCTTGTGTATCTATCCAAAGTGGTAGGGTAATTTGACTAGGATTCGCAAACCTTTCATCAAGAAATGATTTTATCATTAACTTATCGGTTGTATAAACTGTTGTACTGCGGCATTAGCGCAACAACATGAAAGAATGCATCATGCATACGTCGGATTTCCATCCTGCTGAGCGATCATGTAAATTTAATCTGTTTTGAAATAACTAATCTATCCCGCGATGAATCAACCTGATATTGGTGATAAATGCATGGATTCTGCGCTGTATCTGAAATTCAATACGCAAGCCGTTTTAAAAATTACGACAAAGAACCGTTTGGGGAAAGAAAGGTGGTGGGAATAGGAGGAGTTTGAGCTTGTTTGTAATATTCTTTTGTCATGAGTTGTTACATCTCGTAAACAAATCACTAATCACTGCCAAAATTTCATGCTTAAATATTGGGTTTAATGCATACAATCGCTTAGCTTCGAAGCCCTGTTCAACAAAAGTGATGTAATAAAATTAAGGCAGCTATTTACTTACAAAGTTCAACCTCTTCCATTTAGTATCATTTACTAACAATTGTACTGTCGTAGGCAAATCACTGTTTGTCGAAAAAAACCGAAGTTTTCCGATTGTTTTAGTCCAATAATAAATCCCACACGTGCACTTGTGGCTCATCAGACGCGTAACGTTGCCTAGCAGCGTCACTGACCAAATTGAAAACGGGCTCAGCGGTTGATTTACCGACCTAGGGAGCGTTTGGTCCAATTAAAATTAAATTCCATGATTTAGTTTTTAATATACACCAATTCTTCTTTCAGTTTACAATACATTACGATTCTCTTCGATATGTAAATTTTCATTTTGAGGTGCTACTCAATAATCGGGGGTCCGTTCATCTAATTCACTTCAAATGCGGGTTGCCAGTTTAGGCTACAAGACTTATCTACGCTTGCCGCGTTTAAGGCTAAAAAACCGACTGCTGAATGTAGAACTGTAGTAGCCCTGTGAATGTGAGGTGGAATGGGCCGAGTTCATAAGAGTACTCCTAGAGTCCAAGCTACTCACTTCGTCGTCTGTGATGATGTCATACTCGTCCACACCTTTCATTGGATGGGGGAAATTTTCTGATATACTCAACTGAGATATGGTTCTGCGCGCGAGGGTGTCTGTGAAATACTTAAATTCTAGAAAGTTCCTCATTTCGAGCTGATTCACTATACTTTCCCGCCATTTTTTACCCGGGACTCTTTCGCGTCTTCCCGCGCGATTGCTTATCCGGGACCTTACACATGCGGGTGAGTAAGAGCCTTCGCTTTCAGTCAGCTTCCTTTCGGTTAAAGTTCTCTGCCTTTTTAAGTAAGTGGCTGCCAAATGCGCGATGCTGTCCGATCTCGGACGAGGATATTCCCCAGTTTCATCGCTAGCTGTCCGTTGGTTTCTTATCGCTAGAAAAAGTTCTGATCTCTCAATAGGGTCCACTTCCATATTGACCATGACGTTACATGTTGTTTCGGCCTGTGGTCGCAAGTCTGGGTACTTATTCAAATAGTCAGCTAGTTCTCTGTTGATTCTGACTTTAGCGCGACAACTCTGATTGTCGGTTTGAAGTTGTGAAAACCGTTTCGTTTGAGTATCATTTCGCTGTTGTAACTGCCAGACAATGTTCTCTCTCCACCAACAACTTGTGCTATCATTTTTACCGGTAACTCTCTGCAAAGCAGCAGTCCCTGTTAAAGAGCTATCGCTTTCATCCTCTTCTAGCAATTTGCAAGAGTAGCGCAGACTGACAGTGGCTTGAAGGCTGACGGTGACTTGAGCAACAGCGGTTGATTTCATGCTCGCACCAAACCCATGACTGTTTTTCTCCGAGATAGGAGTGCTGTGCGCTAAAGCGTCAGCAAAGAACTCCTCTTTAGACGAAGGAATGATCACATAATCATCAAAATTACTTTGCTTTATGGGTGAAACACAGCTTAGTTGTAACTCGGGAGTTGTAGACTCGCTTAAGTCTTCACTAATAATGTCATAGTCAGCCACTATATCAGTCTTGGGTTTTACCGCTAGTGCCTCACTAACGCATTTAGTACAAGAGCAGCGGTCTACTTCATCATCTCCATAGTAACCAGAATTGACCAGTTCTTCACTGTACAGGCCACTCTCTGAACTGCTAGCATATGTCTGACTACTTCTGCGTGAACTCTGTGAGAATGAATGCGAGGAATCGATTTTTCTCCGTCGTGTTCTCTTACCACTTCGTGAGTTGCTTGAAATTGTTGAGTCTCCCCAGCTTGAGTCAATGTTTTTGAGAACATGGTGGTATGAATTGACCAAATACATTACAGCCGACTGAAAATATATGAAAAACAAATCCTCTGTTTGAGTCTCATGTACTGAGGCAAAAAATTAAGATCTAAAACATTTACTATTTTCAGACCCTACAGAAAGAAAAAAAAAGCCTATAAAAATATTGCAAAACAGTTGTAAAACATGAATTGAAAAAAAAAATCAAAACAGCTAATTGTATTGGCATTAAGCATATCCTGCTGTTACAAAAATGAACATTCACTGAAGTCTGAGAAAACCAGGTACCAAGACAGGAAAAGTACAAATTGTTTAGAGTAAACTTTTCCTACCATAACTTGACACAAATTTCAGTTTGGTTTGTTTTATATGCTTTGTTACAGTGGATAACGATGACATAACCAAAGGTAAAATCAGCTTCTGAGTGCTTAAGAAGTAAAATCTTACTTCTGTATGCCACCCTCATGAAGGCTAACAACAGGTGTCAGGGCTCGCAATAATTTCCTGGTTAGCGCTGGTCAGGTTGTCCTGTCAGACCTATTTTTGCTTAGACACAACTCACGTGACCACAAAAATATCCTTTAAATCCCTAAAATCTCATCGAACCCCCCCTTCCCTTTTAGAATAAGTGTATTTACCACGCTTTTACTGTATATGCAGCCTGGGACTCAATTCACAAAAAGTAACGAATTTCCCTTGAAATTAAATTCTTATTTACATGCCGAAACAACTAGACAAAATATCAGCCTCCAAAGGAGTTGACAGGAAAAACCTTTATTTGACTGGACATTGTCTATTGACTGGCTGTTATTTCAAGCCCTAGGTAAAGTCACTAGTTGAGCCAAAGGGCCTACAAGGTGACAAAGCTTATCTTAGTCTCAAAAACATGAAGTGACAAGGAGTATTACTACCCTCCCTTCTGGATTGTCTATAGTGGGTTACTCCCCTTTTTTTTAACATTCCCCCTGACAGTTTGCCACCACCTATTCATATTCCTGGGAGTACAGAGGTACTGTGAGAGTAGAGGGGAACATAACAGCCAGGTCTCGAACTAGTACCTCTAAGTCCCAGAGTCCAGTGCCATAACCCTTTGGCTACTGCACCACTAGGAAGGTATAGTACAACCATTCCTATCATAGCTTCTAGCATATGTAGCTACCAACTCCCCCCCCCCCCCCCCTGTACTTTGAAGTACATTTCCACTTAACTTCACATTTTTTCCTCACACCTGCACTTAAATTTTAAAGCCAGGTATTGCAACCCACAATACATCAATACATAAAAAATATAAAGTGTATGGTAATAGCAATTTGACTGACTTCACTACAGTCCATGTGATTATAATGAGAAGAAATGCTATAGTTTTTTAGCACTCCTATTAAATCACACAGTATAAAAATCAGATTTTTGCTTAAAACAGTATGCTAATACATCAGTTGGTGTCAACACTTTTGTTAAAAACAGCATGCTGATACAGCAAGTAGTTTCAAGACTTTAGCAACTGCTGGAAATTATTAAACTGATGTTTTGATGATGCATTTAAGGTCATGTTGGTCAGTTGCTCTCTGGAGGTGCAGAGAATCAGATAATAATACATATTATTGTGAATTGTTTAGGAATAGAGTAAAACATTTATTCAACAATTTCTTTTTTCATCACAAGGTAAGGATGGTTTCTAGTAAAATCAAGCTGTTATTTCTGTAGATTGTTCCTTTGATTTTCAAAAGTGAAGAGTTTCTAACAGCTGGAAACAACATTTATGAGGACTAGAAGACTTGTATAAAAAAATAACCCTGATCAACAAAATTGCAGTAAGAAATAAAAAGAGATCCTAAGACTCTTTTTAACTGTTACCAAATTTTACTAAAATATCATCAACTAATGGATAAAATTAACCTTAAGATAAAAATAAAACTGATTTGCCACTTGCTTGCAAAACATGTGACATCTAGTTCCCTCTGCAAATAGCATGGAAATCCAACTCGTTATTGGCACCAGACCCATCTAAAAGTCATTTTAAAACAACTTTTGAAGGCGAGGCAGCCCATACAATAAAATATCACTTTATTGGCAGGAAATTTTTACGAGCTCTGGCAGACTATCCTTCTATTCAGACAATAGATAATAAAAAATGACAACAAAGCAATTTTCTTTAACAACATGCCTCTAGTTCCCGGAAAAAAAGTGACGAATATTCTTGAAATAGATAAAGTCACAATGCTTCGATCGATTCAGATCCGTCTAGTCGCAAATAAAAAGTACTCACCCTTAAGCACGAGAAGTAGAGAGGCACTGTTGTTTGATGAAGAGTTTGGTTCGTATTATGCAAAAATTATAAAATAAACGTACTGCACTTTACGACATTCAAATTACTTCTATACCCGGGGGAATTATCTGATAAAGCAAAACATTTCGGAAACCCGGTCTTTGAATTTTGCCCTCAAAAAGCATGCATTTTTTTTACGCCGGAAGAGGGAGTCAACAAAACGTGGTATTTTTCTAATTTATTTATCTGTCGCGACGAGTTTCTTTGGAAGAACAAACACACGTTTATGCACAGTCAACGAGTCTGATTAGAGATGACCTCATTTAAAAGCTTTCCATGAAGTGCCGGATCGCTATCAATAATAGAGGACTTTGTTAAGAATCAATGATTAAAACAGAGAAACAGTTACCTTCGACTTCGATTTAAGGAGCGAAATCATGTTCCGAGGGGAGATAGGGATATCTTGCGCTGTATGTTCACACGATGTTATTGTAACATTGTATTAAATTTCGCGTTGAATTTGCCTGTACACATCCTTTTTATATTGATTTAAGTTATCTATTTCCCTTCATAATAAACTATTGAAGCCTATTTGTGATTATAGTAACAGAGATGAACTTTGTAAACCACGGAAGACTAGCAATTTTCCGCAATCGTTGTAAGTTGATAAACAATTGCAAGGTGACTATTCGAATTTGTTTCCCAATCGGACGATTCGACCACGGGATGTGGGCCTTGCCAAATAAATCACCATTTGCATGCCGCAGGCAGAACGGATGAGTTATCTCTTGTAACAACCATTACCTCGTGGTAAGCTTTCCAACTACTGGACACGTACAACAGCAAATCAGTACGGGATTAGACCGATTTAAGTATTGCTTTGAGACAAACAATCTCCGCAGTAATCCTGAATTAATTGCAAACAAACGAATTTTACTCACCGTTCATTGACCGTAAAGTTGCGCTGAGTTAGGATCTTTGTTCTTGGTGGATCCTTCATGCATGACAAGTGACTGGATCATCTTTGATAGAATACACCACTCCGGAGATTCCTGAAATTCGCGAAGCTCAGTCTGGTTACTCTGCCAGACGTACCGTCCCAAAACAATTCCCCTGATCACGTGTTAATACGTCACGCAACAACAACAACCTTTGGACGGGTTCGGAAACCGAAATAGTCGAAATTCCAGTGTTTGCGAAACTTGGAAAGAAGAAAAAAATTGGAAGTTTTTGTTTCCTCGGCAGTCAGTCAAAGGAACTTTTAATTGTCCATAGGAGGTTAAGAAAGTAAGTTTTCAGCTGAATGAATTTTTGGTGTTTTGAGAAATTAAACCTGTTTTATGATTACCTAATGGTACAGCTTCCCTTTTTTCCTCCTAAAGTGAAGACTATCGTTTAATGCAAAAGAAAACTCCCTCCAAACATAAGTTTCAAATTTACATCTAAGCACAAAAGACCAAGTTCCCATACTTTTACAACTAATTGAAAAGTTTTGATGAAATCTTCTGCAACAAGCCCTTGCAATTTTGCATCAATTGAGTCTTGTGAGTCTCCAAGCTCTTGACCCCTGCAGACTGTCAGAACCCTTCCACAGATATGGTTTTTAAAATAGAAATCTTAGAAAGAAGATTTTTAAGGACAGCAAATATCTGGAATAATGAATCTTAGGAGCATGATAATAGACATATCAAATTGAGTGAAGACAAGCTTCATTAATTCAAATCAAAATTCAGCACGGTCCAGCAACCGCTGGTGTCTATTTTCCTCTACTTCAGTGAAAGGATCAAGTTTGAGACATTTGCAGGCCATTGATCCTTAAATCCCTGAGTGACTGACATCTATTCTCTCCTTACAATATCACCTTCAAATCCTACTTAAAAGTTATGAGAATAGGGAAAATGATCATCATGTAAAGATACTATCGATTGTTAAATAAATTGTGCTTGTAAGAAGCAAAGGAAATTTACAGAGAACCATTTATATGAAGAATATGCATACTGATATTAGAGTGTAAAGGGGTTAATGAATATAAGATTTATTTGTAAAGTAGAACAGTCTTCAATTCATACAGAAACAGTAAAGGATTCTGAGCATACATGAGACACAATAATGTTCATGATCCCATTCAGAATAATATTATAAACTCAACAAACACTTATTTAGCTTTCAACCTTTCACATGTTTCTTTTTTTTCTCTACTTTTTTCCTAAAAAAATAAATGCAATTAGAGCATGGTTGTAACAAATATTTCAATCCACTGCAAACATCATAATAAATTTCAAAAAAATAAATCAACATCAATAAATTGTGCATTTTGTTTACAACATTCTTAGAATCTTCAAAATCCAACATTCTCAAGACAATGTTTAATCTGTATTTCTTTCTCCTCCTGTTTTGAATTTCTTTTTATATTTGTTTGTTTTGTTTTGGTTTTATTTTGTTTTTGTTTGTTTGTTTTTTCTTTTTTTTTCCATTTTAAATTTCATAAATTGGTCTATTTAGCGAGGTGTTCAGTCCATGCTTGGACTTTCTGATCCTCTTCCCTTCACGTCTTCTATTTCTTTCACTAAAAATTCCATTGGTTTCTCCGGTCTCTCAAAGACAAGCTTGGTAATCAAGTCCTATCAAAGGAGACAGCTGAGATTAGACAAATGTCAATTTTTCTGACAGCTCTGACCATTTTTCTGTACACCAGCACCACACGTTTGGGATAGTTACAGGTAAGTTTGGTTTTAAGGGATCTTACATAACAGAAAGTATATGTTAGACTCTGTAAGTATAAATCATTGGTTTTCTCGATTACCTCTATAAGTTGTAAAATTTCTGTCTCTTCGAGGTATTTCGTAGCTTTTGCGCGAGGCTCCTCGATTTCTTGTAAATTCTCCCCTATTACGGCTTGTTTCAAGTCACTCAAAAACTTTTTCCCTATATCTCTGCACTCTGTGTAGCTGTATAAATCGTTGCGGTTTGTGGTGAAGAAGTCTTTGACGCTCTCATTTTCACCCGCGTCTGAATTTTTCGCCATTTTGATTGTTTTGAAGCCTCGACTTCATGTGAATGGTCTAAAGAACGCCTGGCATTATTCTGATGGCGAAGGGAAGAAGAAGTCTGGATTTCTGTTTCATTAAATTGTTACATGGTGAAAGTTTACTGCAATGTTGAAATTTCTACTTCTTGTTAATAAGCAAGGACATACACGCGTTTCACAATACTACGAACACTTGGATCTGGAAGAAAGAACGAATATGGAAGCTGAGATTACGCGAAAATGTTTGGCAAGGAGTGGCGACCAGGTTAAAAAATTATCTTCTCTTAAGAAACTCAGGAAAAAATATTTTTAATACTCTCTGTACTCACGAGTATGAGTATTTATTTGAATATATTTGACATACCCTTGGTTTCAATTTTTTTCTGATCAAACTTTTATTTTGCTCCGTTTTATCGGGTGATAACTGATGATCATCGGTCAGGTAAAATTTGAATCCTTATTTTCCTCAACAGTGTCCTTTTATGGAATTCAAGAATTTCAAGGTTGTCTACAGGAGATATGCCTCACTACTCTTCATAGTTGGTGTTGATTCAGATGAGGTAGGTTGCTTTATTCACATTTAACCGTAGTTCAATATTTAGAATTTTTACTGATATATGCAATTAAGTGACCATGCTAATTGTAACCTAGCTGTAATTATTGATTTTTAAGGGAGATTTTATAGATGCTGAATTCACTTTGAAATTCCCTCGCTGCATATGCTAACCAAATATATAAGTTCTGATAGTACAAAAATGATAAGGCACTTCAAGTGTAAGAATTAAACCTCTCACCAATCAGTCCAATCACACTGTGTGAACACAAAATACTAAAGCTTTTGCAAAGTTGGGGTCTCCATACATAAACCGAAGTAATGTTCTTTTTGTGGTTGATTTTTACTGATTCACCCCAAATAACCTTTGCTTGTGTCACCTGTTTTTTGTTTCGTAAGGTATTAGCTATAAAGCTTTCTTAATTGTAGGATAAACTTATTTAATTTTCAATTCAGACTCTAGGAGATAACATTTGAACCAAATTTCTCTTTGCAGAATGAATTGTCAATACTTGAGTTCATTCATAACTTTGTAGAGACTTTGGGTCGGTATTTTTCTAATGTGGTGAGTTTCAAGATACTTTTATTTTAGCAGTTTAACCCTTTAACTTCCATGAGTGACCAAGACACAGTTTCTCCTTACAATATCAATACAATATCAAGCAGACAAGTGATGAGAATAAAGGAAAATAGAAATTTAGGGAATATAAGTTGATCCAATACCAAATTCTCCAAACCAACATCACCAGAACTGTATGGCAGACAGTAAGGAGAATTACTAATGAGATCTTGGGAGTGAAAGGGTTGAAGTTTTCCCTTCTAGCGAACGTTATATTATTTTAAAGGACATAGCAACAATGACAAAGTACAAAACTGTGATCTTATTAAAACAGCACTGATGATACAGGAAATCTTTGGTCCACACTTCTTAAAATTAAGTGAAGTGTATAACTTAATACATTGGATAATCAAGTCTTAATGAACTGAGTTGATAATGTAAATTGGCCACTGTAGAGAGTTTCATATGCTGATGTTTCAAGCATTATCCCCTTGTGAGAGCAAAGGACAAACACTCCAAACAACTGTAACTCCCTAACTCTTGAAGGGCCAATGCCTGAAACGTCCTTTAGATACTCTTTATGGTGGCCAATTTACATCTCTTTTATTATCAGGTCAATTGATAAAACTATGTTTTCTTGTTATACCCGGCCTTACCAATACAGTACCGCAGTATATTTAGAAACTTATCCCCTTTATTTACTTAACCCTTAAACTCCCAAGATCTGATTGTTAATTCTCCCCTCTAGCTGCTACATATATCCTTGTAAATCAGGTATGAGAATTTGGTGTAAGATCAAGATAACAACTTCTACCTGATAAGTCTGGGTATTCTCATAACCTGTTTGCTGGATAATGTAAAGATATTATAGGGAGAAGTTACATGTTAATCACTTCTAGGAGTTTAAGGGTTAAAGAAGTAACATGAATCTCTCTCTTTGTTTATTTTCAGTGTGAATTGGATGTATCCTTGTTAATATTGTTTTTAACCCTTTGCACCCGGACATTAGCATGCATATCTATTCTCCATACTGCTCTCTCTACATCTTCTAAGGTGCTGACAAGGAGAATTTGTTTAACAATCAAGAGCTCCTTCAGTCAGTGATCAATTCTGTTATTCTCGTGACCTTAATGTGTGGTTTAGGGGAGTAGGGAGAAATTAAAGGCTAATCACTCTTCGGGGTAAAAACGATTATTTCTATGTAAAGAAGACAAATATACCCAGTGGCTGGTATATCATATTGAAATATCTAATAAAACTAATCCAAAAATTATGCATATTCAATAATAATAATTATTACAATTATTATTCACTATTAATAATTATTATACACCCTTGATTTCCTTAGTTTCCCTTGCTCCTAATACTGTATGTTGTGATAGGCCAATTATTGATCACATGACTTATAATATGTGTGAAATAATCATGATGGATGTTTGATCCTCTCAGGATGAAACATTGATCCTGATAAACACGGTCACCATCATTATCATCAGTATCATTATTATCTGTTCTAAACACACAAACAAGGCACTAATGAACTCCTTTGTCTCCAGCCAAGACTCTTCTTTGCCTTTTCCTTGATTGTACCTTAAATCTTTAGATTATGTTCAACCTGGATAAAGTACACATGATCTTGGATGAAATGATCATGAATGGAGAGATATTGGAGACAAATAAGAACAGAATACTTGCACCTGTTTCTGTATTAGACAATGCAAACAGCTGATCTGTTGGGATTTGAAGATTTTGTCCTTGGAACCTTTGCAATAAGAGCATCATCTTGTCAATGAAATGATCATAGATCAAGGGATAATGGATAGGTGTCCTGAAAACAAAAACCTGAGAAGCTGTGATCCTGAGTTAGAGCTCTTTATCTTATCATAATTTGATATGAAACATTTACTCAGAACTCAGTGCAGATGTGTGATTATATAAGAGTCACATGGGATACAGTTATAAATATTATTCCTAGATTTGTCTTGTATTTGTTCCTTCAGCTGCGTAAATTAGATAACTGCATGCATATGGAAGTACTTATTGTATATTTGTGATAAGTTTTGCTGTTACAGTTCAGTTCTTGGCTTGTTATAAAAACAATTTCTGGACATTTTTTTTGTGTATAAAGGTAAGGTGCAACTTATCTTTTTTTAAATTTCTGTTTTCTTGTGAAGTGTCAGCATTGTGTTGTTCACTCTCACAGCTGATGCATCATTCAATTTGAATGTGAAGCTTCAACATCCCTCACCTCCCCCAACCTAATGGGCATTTGAACCTTCGAAGACTCGGGTTTGTTCTAATTCCTGCCTTCGAGGGCAAAGACTGTCTTAAGACCCACACCCAATTTTTTTTGTTAAAGGTTAAGTCAGGGATAATGACTTTCTGCACATTGACCAGTCTTTAAAACCTAGACCTTGTAGACATTTCTTCTGAGCTATTTCCAGGCTAAAGTGAACCATTTATAAACTGGTACCTCTAATCACCTTGATATTTAAAGATATAACACTTGTGTTCTGCTGGAAAGACCCAGGGACACTTCCACTTGAAATTTCCCATTCCAGCCAGGCAAGGTTCAAATACCCATTGGGAATTTTTGGAATCAATGTAAGTACTTAGAGTTCAAATGTTGTGAATGCATCACAGAATATCTTTCTTCTTTGGATTGTTGAGACAAATATTATGCAAGTCATTTGCTGGTGAACCTGTCTTTTAATAGCTACCACTCCACCATTCCCCAAGGGTATCACTTGATAGAGGGTCCTAAATAGACTTTTCAAATCCCACATCCTGCTGCTATTTTTCATTCCATCTTGCTGCAATGAACTTTTTCATCCCGATCTTGTCAAGTCTTGGGGGGAGGGGGCTGGGGAATTTTGGTATTTTTTTCCCAAAAAAAAAGGGTTGGCCTTCCCTTGTGTTTTAATGAAAAAACTCCTGACCCCCCACCTTTAGGTGACTGACAAAAGTGCAACCCTCCCCTCACTACTACATGGTATGTTCCATGTGAAAGAGACCTCAGAAAATTTTTCTTGTGAATGCAAAATGTTTGAATATAAACATATCTCAAAATTAACTGTGTGCAAGCTGAAGCAAGAGAATGCAAACAATTAGTGTGGGATATTTATGTTTTATAGCTGAAGTTTTATTATGGAGGTTTAAACTTTGAGACTTTGTAAGTCCTTCCCCAGCTACACCAACTCCACAACCCTATCCCAGTTACAGCAAACTTCCCGACTTTCACTACCTGCCAAGTAGGAAAACACCTATGAGTGGCCGCAAATCTGAAGATTATCAGCCTGGAGCTCAAATAAAACAGATGTTTCAAGAGGGTAAGCTCAAAGCAGGGACAATAAGGCAATCAAAGAGTTTTCTGAAAAATACATCGTTTCAGGAAAGGTTGTTGCAGATTAAATTGAGCATCAAACTGACATTGAAATGAGAAAAGATAAGCAGCAGATAGTCAACAGGAACAAGAAGCTGAAGAAACAATACCTGAGTCTAGTATGTCTCAGTACAGACAGAAAAGGGCACGTATCCTCTGAGAAAACTATGTGCCATGGCGTAATATACATGTAGAAATGTAACCTAGAACCTATCATAAAACATCAAATTAAATCAAATTAGGTGAAAAGAAAAACTTAATCTGTAAGAAAAATGGAAAGCAACATCACAAATATCCTCATTAAAAAATTCAGTAAAAACGTACATTCCCTTAGTCCGCTGCCTTATTTAAACTGATGGGCAAATTATGGCCTTTACAATATTTATAATGTGCTCTCTGGCATGATTATGGAAAAAGGCAAAGACTTGCTTAAGCATACTCAGTGGAAACATCATTGCGTGACACATCTCAAGGACGTTACAGAACTTCGTAGGCTGGCTGTTCATGTTCTTTTGTTTAAGAGTTAATCATTCTAAGGGTTCTTTGTAGCGATATGGGCCCTGAACCAAAATCCCGCACGAAAAAAGGAAATTCAGATAAGGTGAAACCCTTCTGATCATTTAAATTTTCTCGTGCCTTAAGTAACTACAGGTAATTTAGTGTTAACAACTGGGTTGAAAACGTAAATTAGCCACCGTAAAGAGTAAAAAAGCTGACGTTTCGAGCGTTAGCCCTTCAATCGCTCTGACGAAGGGCTAACGCTCGAAACGTCAGCTTTTTTACTCTTTACGGTGGCTAATTTACGTTTTCAACCCAGTTGTTAACACTAAATTACCTGCTATACTCTCCCACCGACGCAGCACCACAGTTTCTTTAGAAACTTACCCCTTTATCCTTAAGTAACTACAGATGATTTTAGTAAAAACTCGTGACCGCTAAGAAGCGTTGTGTGACGTTCTTTAACGCACCTTTAAATCATTGCACCGGTAATAATTTCGAGTACGCTGTACATGCTAATGAAGTGATTCGGAAGTGGCTGGTTATTCTTCGATTGCCATAATTTGTTCTTCGACAATACCATGCCATGCGCTTGTTTTAGGGGTTTGGGAAACGCTTTTTGGATACAGTGGAGATGAAATGTTCCTTCAACGAAACTTGATGACTGCTACTGCGGTTGTGTATATAACAACGTTTCTCTTCGCACTGCCTTTGATGTGCCACAAGCTTGGTTTCTCGTCGTATTTCAGGAGTCCAACGAAAGCGTATGAATTTCTAGAAGCACAAAATGAAGAGCGAATTATGAACGCGAGAAACTTCTTTCGAAATTTTGATGGTAAAGTCGATTACACTCACGATAGTCAAATTGAATTTTCGACTGTTTTGTTAACAGCTTATCGCGCTTCAAACACACATTATCCGCTACAAGTCGCCGCTCGTTTGCTTCCTCAGGTAATTAATGATGAAGGAAAAACTGTTTTCACCGTGTTAAATTTTGATCCACAACTGAATGAAGATGTAGCCTATCTTTCACATTTTGTGAACGTGATCAATGGTTCGGCCTACGGAAACGCCGCCTCGAGATCAAGGGAGAAAGAAGATTACATTATGGGTTTAGAAACAGCTTTGAAACACAATTCAACGTACATTTTAATGCTTGAGGACGATGCACTGCCATCTAATAATCTGCTTAACAACCTACGCTTCGTTTTGAATCATCGGATGCCTGGAAGACTTTTGAAAAGTCGCCGCGATTGGGCTTTTCTGAAACTCTACTACCCTGAGAAATGGCAGGGTTTCGGCTGGCCGCAGGTACCAGAACTTCTACTGGTCGGTTTATTTGGAGGATGTTTAGCTGTTTGGATACAATTAAAAATAGAAAGGCGAAGGAGACATTCTATCTCTTTAACATTCACTTTATGGGCAGTCTATGCTATGTTACTTAGTTATACTGTTGGCAGAGTTCACTGGATAGAATTAAGAAAGCTATCGCCATTCTTGTTTTCTGTTGTCCAAGCGGCCCGATGTTGTACACCAGGCGTGCTATATAATAGATCTCACGCTCGTGACCTTGCCAATTTTCTATATTCAGTTCAATGTAGTGAAAAATATCCATTGGATTTTGCGATCGATGACTTCGCAGACAAATCGAATTTGGAGAGGTATTTAGTAGTTCCAAACATGGTCTCGCATATCGGCGTTCATTCCAGTCTAAGTAACCGGTTGAAAGATTCTGCAGAATTTTTCTTGATGTTTAAGCCATGATTTAAAATTTCGAAAGCGTTTTTGGCTGAACAGGCACAAATCCTACCAGCAAATGTATGAGATGAAAGTTGTAAAAGTACAGTCAAATTCTCAATAACAAATATCTCACCTTCTGCAGTGCATCTTTTATTGCATGACGAGCTTTGCGTCGGAAAAAAAAATTTATGCAAATTAGCTGGCTGCACATTCAATGTGCATTCAATTTAAAAGTAACCCTCAGGTATACACTACCCAAGAGGGTATGCAGGAGATTAAAAATAACCCTTAGGTATACACTACCCAAGAGGGTATAGAAGAGATTAAAAATAACCCTCAGGTATACACTACCCAAGAGGGTACAGAAGAGATTAAAAATAACCCTCAGGTATTTTAAATTACTTTTAATTAATTTTACTAGTTCCCGAATGTCTTTGTCAAGCTCGGCTATTCTTGACTGACATCATTGCAATTTCCCATGATATTTAGACTGAAGGCATTTCCCGCCTAAAGTGTACGGTCGAGGGCGATTTGATTTACCTCATCAACAACAAGATTATGCTTTGAGACCTCGCAAATCCATCTGCTGGATTTCTCCCTGTCTAATTAGTCCAGCACAGAGACCAATTGAGGATATAACATGCATGTTGTTTGGTTACCTGGCGTTGAACGAACAGCCTTTGTTGGCGCGCTTGAGACCTGCTGGCGGGACAGAACGTATTGTAGTCATCACGCAATCAACGAAACAATTGGTTCTTTGCAAAAGCTTTCGACCTGATTACACATTAACTTTTTGTTAGCACATACCAGTACTTTTTGGGGTCGAGATTGGATCCCGTAACTACAAAAAGCTCTGCCGATCGATCGAAGACTTCAGCCTCCATAATAAGATCGCGCCAAGTGATTTCAATGCCAAATTTCTTGTGTTTCGAGCATAGATGCAGTATTAATTATTAGGTGAACCTTTAACTTATAATCAACAGGTTTAAGTAACCGCATAGACACCTACCGACCGCAAACGTTGATGTAATTCTCTACACCGATGACAGAAATGGCGCCTCATTAGACTGCCTGGAACGGTCTTGAATGGACCAAATGCCCGGTAGATAAAATTTTTCCCTTAAGCACCACCAAATTGTTCCTTGAAACTTCTACAACCACGACACAATGGCACAAAGAGTCATAGACTGCCTTTTATTTCCATATACATTCAAACTCAATCATGCATGACCAGGGGCACTTAGAGCCAAGTGCGTGACTCGAAATTAACCCTTAAAGGTGACTAGCATCTAATTTCTCCTTACATTATCACCCCTAAAGCCCACATTAAGGTGGCCAGAATAGAGGAAATTATTACCAACTACAGACGCTCTTCATCGACAAACAAACTCTCCTTGCTAGCACCTTAGGAAATTTTTAGAGAACAGTATGGAGAAATTGCATACTGATGCAAGGGTGTGAAGGGCTTAAACTTTAAAACAAATTTTTAAAGACTCGGATGTCTTAGTTTTCGAGTCACCTGTGATAAGGCTAAGAGCTGAGCAGAAGACCGACGTCTTATTGGTCTGTTTTATACGTCTGCGGCTGGTTTAAATAAGTGAGGACGTTCTTGATTAACTGAAATAATCGAATGGCGTGGCTAGTCATGCAAGGAGGTGAAGTCGGCATTTCAAGATACAGCACTTAAACGTAAACCTCCAGCGCGTTTCGGAGCACAGGCTCTAACATTCGTTAAACGAACCAGTGTGTATGGTTTGTTTTCTTAAGCGAGCAAACTCCTTGCTGAAGGCTGAAAGAAACTTAGCCTGGGTGACAGACTTACTTCCGGTTGACGAAGGTTATTTTTTCGAAGAGAAACAACCAGCGGACATACGGCTATCGCATAAGCTAGAAATATCGTTCCCAGTGTCCTTGGTCCCTTTGTTACAGAAGCCCTGGGAACGAGATATGTCCAGAAATACATGCAGTACCGAGAATGACAAAAATTCGATAAAATCGTCAAACCCGCAAAGCTGATTTTGCTTTGACGAATTGGACTAAAATTCTTCAAAATCGTCAATCCCGCCGAGTTGATTTCGTTTGGACAAATTTAACTAAAATTCGCCAAAATTGTCAAATCCATGGACATTCTTTCGGTTTGATGAACTTTCGTCATATCTGCCATTTTCCTTACTGCGTAAATTTCTGGACATAAGTGGAGAGAGTTATCCAGAAGATTTTCTCGTCAAAAGTTGTATTCCGCTGGCATTTCAGAATTATGTTAAACCAAGAGAGTCACATAACTGGAGTGACTTGTGTCACGTAGCTCTGGAGGAGAAATCACGTCCGACAAAAGCAAGCTAACCCAGCCAAGTGGGCTGTTTTAATGGAACGTGATGTTAATTGTCGGTTTATCAATATATTGAGGCGGCACGTCTGTACAGAAACCGGAAATCTGATAATGTCAATTTTCTTTTGTGATCAAAAGTATTCTTTGCTCACTTCACTTGGATAAAAGAGGAATGCGGAAAAGCGCTTTTAATAACGTTTTTAATAGAGGTTATTTGAACAGTTCAACTATTGGTTGTCTTAAATGCCTCATTTTTTTTATATGTCGTATGAAACGGTATTTCTTTAGCATATATATCAATGAATATTCAGAGCCCATTTTAATTTGACTGGGATAAAATTAATCACAGTATTGATAATGACGGAGATATTCCTCATTTACAAAGACCGTCGAAATTAATATCCTTGTCTTTCGTGCAGGGATTTTTATATAATCAAGCATTCATTCCTTTTCTTTACTGATCTCTCCATCAGATATAACCTATAAAAACTTGAATCAGTGTATTTTGTTTAGAGTATATTTATGAATAAACACACACGTACACCCATATATATGTTTATGCAGATATTAGAACTAAAAATTTACTTTACATTGCTTGGGTGCGGCCACGTCAAGAATATGCCAGTGTGCTATGGTCGCCTTACACTAAGAGAATCGAAAGATTACCAGCTTAGAGCAAGTTCAGCGCAGGGCCACGAGATTCATTCGCCGCAAGGATTGTTCTGGGCACGAGCGCCTTAGTATATTGAATTTGGTATCTGCAATATCGTGGGGATATCCTTGATTTGATAGTCCTTTTTAAATGTTTTTTTTTTTTGTTTGCTCTTGCAACAAACCTTTGAGAAATGTTGACTATCTAATACTTGATGTCCCTTTTAGTCGAACAGGAACTTTTAAGAATTCATTTTTCATGGGGCTTGTCGCTCATGGAATGAACTATCCTTTAAAATTAGAGAGTCTAACACCTTGTCAATCTTTCGCAAGAAATTGTTTACTTATTTTTATGTTAAGATCAGAGCTAAATCGTAATTATCTTATTTTTATTATGAGTTTAGAGTAATAAGTCTTTGACATTGATTTTTTTTTAACTAGGTAAATAACTAGTCATAGCTTTCACCAAGGCGGCTTATATTAAATCATGTATTCTGTTTTAGGCTGTCTTCAAATTCATTGGATTGACTTGTTCAATGAAATAATTTGGAAATTGTGTTAAAGATTAAAGATATATATATATATGTAACATATATATTTATATATATATATATATATATATATATATATATATATACTATATATATATATTACAAAGTGTGAAAAAATAATGAAGTCTATGAGGTGAAAGTTAACTTTGTTTTTGTCAGGAATCTTGTTTATTGAATTCACGGTTAACCTTGTCAGTTTAACTGCAAGCACAGTTTTTTAGTTTTTTGCTCAACACTTGTGTCATTTAGTTTCAACGCTGTAACTCAGGTGCAAAATTAATGAACGAGCCTTATCAATTCTGAGATTAATCAAACTTAAAATTAATGCCATCACCGCGATGGCGTCTAACTCTCCATCCACTGAATTACATAAGGAACATTTAAGTTAGTGTAATGTAAGAACGTCTCGTACACAGACTGTGACTTCATCACCTTGTCTTGATAATAACCGTACGCGTATCCTTTACGTAAAAAGGTCTCTTCTTGAAGTGGATGTTGTAACATATAGCGATCCTTGACGCTTCGCTCATGCAAAGGTTGAATTAATTTAGATGATAAATAATTTGCGGTTTGAGAATAATGACGCCTATTCAAATTATGTTATTGAAAAAGCATGTATTGCCAAACATAACTAGGATGTCGTGGAATCGTTCCACGACAAGTTGATGTAGTCAAATGGTCTCAGGTTATTCCTCTTTGTTCTTGTATTAAATAATTCCTCCGGTTCGTGTCATTACGGCAGTTTTTTTCTAAGTGCTCACTGAAGTATCTTCGTTATCACCGATTTATTTTAATAATTCGCTCAATTAGCCGAGGAATTGATAGCAATTTATGACCAATACATTCCTGGCAATATTTTAAGTGTTGCTAATATCTCTTTGAAGCAAAACCAGTTTTGTGCTTTTTATGAATAATTTTTGGTACTTAAGTGGTTTTTTTTTTTTTTTTACAGAACATGACAAAACGGAGAGAGAATTTATCGCTAAAACCTATTTGTGCACGTCCCAAAACAAAACGTGACTACAACAAGGGCTTGAGTTGAACAGTCGGGAAATATTCCGATATCCCAACTAAACAGTAAACAATTACAATATATCTCGTTTCCTAGGACGCATAATTCAGAAACTCTATATCCTCAGGATTCAATATCCTTTGTTGTCATAGAAACCCTCAAAACTATGGATTTCAATGTATGCATATGATAGGGTGTTTTTGATAAAGTACTTGTTGTCCAGAACCATCACTTCCCAGAAACTCAATCCAGAAAAATTACATCATGACATTGTTTGCCTAAACAATCTCGGTCGCTCTTTGGTCAAAAGGTTTGAATTGGTTTAGTGAGAAGGGCCGATGTTCCAAGCCCGACGAAAAAATTATTTGAAGACTTGAACTCATTCAATTTTATTGTTCGTCATTTTTAAAAGCTTTACGTGAGATGGCGTCAAGTTTGTTGAGAGTAGCCTTACTACTGTTCACATTTTTGTTTAGGAATTCCGTGGGTCAAATTGGTAAGTAAATTGGTGAGCATTGATGAAACTTTTATGTGTGTTAGAAGAACGGTTGTGATATCTTTGCCTTGAAGAAAAATCATAGATATTAAATACCGTGATGGAACATAGGTTTCACTATCGAGAGATTTCGAGACACGTTAGTCTCAATAACTAGAGTTCTTCTTTGATTTCGTCGGTTTTACTATATCTGAAATGCTGGTCGAAAAATAATTGCTTTGTGATTGTAGAGAGCAGAAAGAAACAGACAAGACTTGCTTGTGAAACCAGTCACCTTGAAAAGATTCTTAGTAAATTCTGTTCAGGAATTCAACTCCTTTGATCATAGAATCAAATTTCTTAAAAACATCTATGATTTAGATTTGTGAAAAGTCTCTTTTTAAGCTACATGTGGTCATGTACATTCTATCTGTGCTGGGAAGTGCTGATATGCTTCTGTTTACCTCTTGGCACGTATCAGTTTACTTCCTATCAAGTTGTTGTCTCGCCCTGAAAAGAAGTTGTTCCACCTAGAACTGGTGTTCAACAGTTAATACGAAGTTTTAATTCCTGAAGGGCTTTGGTGTGTTTTGACCGAGCAAATTTATAAGAAAATTTTATCGGAGGGCACATGCTGAAATTTCACATTTAAAAATGTTGTTTGAAAACCATCATATTGATGCATTATTTCCCTTCCGCTATATTGCTTTTCGTCAACTTCTTAAAATTGCTTTTGAAGAGTATTTTCAAGTGAAATAATGTACAAGAGTTTTCAACGACTTTGCTTGGAAGGTCGTCAAAGTTTTATCTTCTTAATTAAGATCGTGTCCTGGTGAGAGAATTTTCAGTTTCTCTGCTTTGACGTCTATTGCATGCGTGATGACTTGAATATGATTGGTTTCAGATGAAACGTTTTTTCGTCTAGCATTTGAGATATTGACTCACTGAACTTAATACCGTTGTGTCTCTGGTTTAGTAGACACCTCAATCTTTCAAAAAAATCTCCTTTATAAACAGAAATAGATCATCTTTTTCAAATTGTTCGGGCTTTTAACGCGAAACGGCCTTGACCCTACTTGATCTGGCGACAGCACCACAAACATTCCCTTTAGCTAGAGTACAACTCAAAGAAGGTGGCGATACGTTCATCTATTTCTGAGCTATTTAAATGTCGAAAAAATAAGTCTTTGTGTTAATGAACAGGCGTTGAACTCTTTCGCGGGTCCATCCGAGACAACACACATATTATTAGCCATTATATATCAGTGTCTTAGTCTTTCATTGAAGAAATTTCCTCTATTGCAATCTTCAACATGTAATCAGAGCCATAGCCCAAAAAATATCACCTCTAATTGATTACGGCGACCTTGTTATCCCGGCCACTTTTAATTTTTTACGGAAACAGGGTGACTCTCGAAATTTTAAGAGTGTGTCCACGAGGGCACCGGAAAGTCGTGCTACATGTCATCCTACCGATTTCAATGAAACTTTGCCAGTTTGAGGGATCTGCCCCAAACTCAAAGCGACAAACTGGTTTCTGTTTTGGTTATTTCCGGGGGGGGAGATAGATTTTCTTGGTTATCACCGAGGAAATCGCTTCAAAATAGGTAAAATGTATGAAGCTCTCACTGCGATGGTATTTAGCCAATTACTCTGAGAGTTTGCACACATATTAATACAGTAAACGTCCGACGCTATTATCAGTCAATTTGATTGACGGCTTGTCAATCAACAGAGGCAAATAAATGACTGTGTTTTTAGACTTTTCGATTCATCCAAATATCTGACAACTTTGAGGTCAATTATTTCCCCTTGCCAGAAAGCTACAACACTAATTTTAATTCCCCTTTATAATCCATCATTTCATCTCTGAAAATCATCAAAAAATTCTTTGGGCACCACCGTATTTTTGTCTTGGATGCCTTCTAAAATCTGCGACTGTGACAAGTTTCTCTCACCTACACCTGTCACGCAATTCTTGCTCTAAGCGGTCACTTGACCATACAAACCTACATTTTTTAGCTCTTTGTACAAGACGATTGACCAAGAAAGCTAAAAAAAGTGAAAAACTTTCAAGATTTCTCGTAGGAATGGAAAATTTCACGTTTAGAGAGATGCATGTAGGCGAAAATCAATAGGAAAATGGTAGCGTTTCTTTCTTCTTTCGTTTACTACTTTGGAGATTTGCTAAAATCAGCAAATAGGGCTTTTGTACTGAGCAAAAAATTCATTAGTCTATAATTTGATTGTTTATTATCATTATCGCACAGTTCACAATAAGGAAACTGTAATAGGAGAGGAGATTTAAACTCATATGCCGCGTGCTTGTTGACGTATAAGTCGGCTTCGGCTTTTCGAGACCGTAGATGACGGGAAACTCTGCCCCCCTAATTTGAGAGGAAACATCAATAGACCCATAAAATTCATTAACTGCGCCATGTTTCCAGAAAATAAGACTTGAACATTTTTTTCCACTTTACACCATCAAGAAATTCCACGCAGAAATGGTATTTGTAGCGTAGCGTGACTGCCTGATCGTTCTTGAGAAGTAAAAATTGTTTATCTGTTTTTTCAAGAAAACACTTCTAGAAAGTTCTTAAACCTTCTGTTATTTTATTTTTTGACTGCAAATATCGTCTGCATTTGCCATTATTTTCGCTGAATGTCATGGCTCAGCCTAAAATCTTGCAAGAATTGATGTCTCACACATTTAATCA